GTTGAATGTTGCAACCAACAATCAAACGAACCAAGTTATTAAGTTGCTTGAAGAGGAGAAATTGGTACAATATTTTAGTATGCCTTTAAAAGATTGGCTAATTTTTATTACAGGATGGGCCATCAAGAAAAGGGAGGTTTTTTTTTTATTTTTTGGCATAAGTAGCAAAATCTGTGAAGCTCCTGGAAGGTAACGCCCTTTACCGGGGGTCGTTAGGTAACGCCCTCTCACAGATTTTGTAAGCTTGCTTCTGTTGCACCACTGAGAGGTAGGTAACGCCCTTGACCTCTTGGAGTTAGGTAACGCCCTCGGTGCTACATATAGCAAGCTTTCAACATGTCTTACGTAGAAAATTTCTGAATTGAACTAATATAATGAAAGTTTTTTATAGAAGAGCAATAAACGAGAAATATTGGATTATTGGATTCGTATCGAACAAGAAAGAGCATTGAAGACGAAACAAGTATGAAAATATAGGTTTAAATATTTCAATAGAATTTTCACATTAGTTATTAATATGAATGGTTTTAACTGAACAGATGGCCGTGAAAACCAAATCACAATCTTCTGCATTAGATATGTTGAATGTTGCAACCAACAATCAAACGAACCAAGTTATTAAGTTGCTTGAAGAGGAGAAATTGGTACAATATTTTAAAACAAATTAAAAGGCTTTCAATGAGTATGCATTTAAAAAGTTGGGTAATTTTTATTATAGGATGGGCCATCATCAAAAGACACGAAATCTAATCCAGATCCAAATATGAGTAAAGAAGATCAGGAAGAAGAGGAACCCGAGGATGAAATCGATGAATTCATTATGGACAAGGAAAATAATGACAAAATTAGTAATGACTTCGTGGAACGTATAGAAGAATCCAAAATGTCAAGTTGTCAGCGTCCGTGGATCCTCCGTAGTGGTACAGACGTAGGAGATAAATTGGCAAGTTATATCAAGACGATTCCTGAGAACCAAAAATGTTTGAAGTAGGTTTATTAATAGATAATATGGATATTTATGATGATTCTTTTAATTATGGACTTTTTCGCTTATAGCCTCGCATATTGGAATATACTTGATTTGACTGAGAATACACAAATGAAATCTCTTTTCTCGGCGAATGACTGGAAGGAAATGGTTGAAAGTTTCAATAAAGAAGTTAAATTGATCGAATCGGATTTTCTTGATGTGGTAGAGTATTTTTTCGATGAAGTTGAAAAAGTAAGTTAAAGGAAATATTTGGTTTGTTTCAACACTTTAAAAAATGATGCTGACTTGAAAATTTAGATTACAAAAAAAGAGGATAAAGATATCATCAACGCGATTGATAGATTAACCCCGGAAATTATTGAAACGAATCGAAAAGTAGAACTTAGCGAAGAGGAAAAAAATGTTATTTCCATTTTAAGGCGTGCTGTTGTCACGTAGTGAGTGAAGCAAAATATAATTATCAAAAACTTTATTTTGTTTTCCTTACGGTCAATTCTTGCACTTATAGCGCTGAAAATCTGGAAAGAGTTGATCTTCCCATTACTTTGACAACGCATTTCCCAACATGCTTGCCAAAAGATTCTTAAATAGGGAGGAACTAAAGATGGATGTGTAAGTATAGATAAGCAATATGACCAGTCTGACTTCATGTGATCAAATTCCATCTTACATAATTTTACAGTGGGGAAATTGCATGTTGGGCGTCAGCTTATCGCCGAAATGAAGGTCGTTCCGTTGTTCTCAGAGCTCGCATTGGACAAAAGTGCGATTTTCGAGGAACTTTAAAAAAAAGTATCAACAAGCTTGAGGCTCTCATAGGTCTCAGAAGTGGTGGACTCCCAGAGCCTCATCGAAAAAAAATTCACGAAGACAAAGTTGATATAAGCGTGGCAATGCGAGATATCTTGTATACATTTTTTAAAGAAAATTCCAAAGCACCTAGCTCTGATATTCATTCCACATTTGTCTTTGGAATACATTCATGGGGTAATTAAGCAGGAGAAACAATCGTAGTAATGAAATTGCATCAATTAACGATTTTTCTTTGATTTTGCTAAGGATGGGTTCACAATATATATGGGATGGACTGTAAAGCGACGAATATACTACGGCTTGGCTGTATTTCTCATTTAAAGATGCCAAACACCCTAAAAACGCTCTCAGTACTCGAAAGCTTCTACGTACTTTTCACGGATTTGCAGGTATCATATGTTTATCATCGCTACAGTACATTTAGAATCTTACTATTATAATCACTGATTTCAGACCACGTTGAATACTATTTGCGAACATACAAATAGTATCTCGCTTGCACATTCACGTGCACACAGAAATCGAAAAAGGAAGGATCCGGAACAAGCTGGTGAGAAAGGTGGATCATTTGGAAATCCTTCACGAAGCCCGGCAAGTAAGAAGAGTTTGACAAGTTTAGAAAAAAAGAAAATGAGAGAAGTATCAAGTAGGAAGGTTTTAAGAATTTCAAATTGAAGTTTTCATGAATGTATAAATAAATTTGAAGTAGAGTTTTGGTATTGATTATATAGATTCTTAGATTAAAATTTAATTAAGTATCATAGGAAATATTCCGGGATTGTAAAATTTTAAAAGGCATTTTATCCCATTATTTCGCCGTATATAACTGCATCCAGTGGAAATGTAATAATAAAACTTTTTACTTATTGAAAGTATATAACAATATTTTTGTTATATTCGGAATATGAAAAAATAATTGTATAATTATAGAGCATTTAAAGCCAATGAGGCCCAATTCACGAAGATGCTCAGGAATAACTACATATGGATCTTCGTAATACCAAACGTACCTTAGAGTAATGCAATTTTCTTCGTATAATTCCTTCTTGAGTTGAACCAGGCTTGCTGTTTGATAAATTATTGGGATCTCTATTATGAATGAATTTGATATATTTTTCGTGTTGTACGCCTTGTACTTCGATTGCAAAGCCTGTAGGTTAAGGTTGCCGGCCGTAAGTAGGTTGCAATCCTAATTACAACTTATGCTAAAATTTGTAATATGTCGTTAGTGAACCAAGTCGATCTTAAAAATTCGACTTGACTAAGTCGACTTGGGTCGATTATTTTAGCCAAAGTCGATTTTATTTTAAAGATATTTATGCACCAATCATGTTTCATAATATCTATATATATATAGTATTAGTTAAAGAATGGAAAACCTCCGAATACGTAATAATAAAATTAGTGTATTAATACTCTTCATATTAAAAAGCCTGATTTTGCTTTGTAGTGCAAAGTAAAAAATAATGTTCCGGTTACAGAACTAGATATCATTAGAGCGCTAATTGATAGTTTATTTTAATACTCGGTTAAGTCGGCTTTATAAAAATCGGCTTGGTCAAGTCGACTAACCGACTTAGTTGATTTTACAAGCATCGACTTTTATTACTATATGTCGTAATTGTCGTAATTGTCGTAACGCCGTAATGGTTGTAATTATCATAATCGTAATTATAAGTGATCGATATATTATGATAACAATCGGATTATTAAAACGTAAATCAAAAACTTAATTACTGACTCACATAAGAAGGATAGTATTTCATAGGCGCAAATTACTATTAAATTTATAATAATTATGAAATCTTCTTTCCTTTATAGAAACCTATTTTTTTATTATGCTAATATACTTTATTTTTCTAATAAAAAATATAGAGAAAACTCTTATATTTAATATAAAAAAATTATTAAAATTTGGTTTAGTAGATGAGAATATATTTATATTTTATTTTTTGTAACTATATAAAATTTTTATAAGAATAGAAGAAAAAAAATTTTATTCTTATATAAAAAACATAGTAAATTATACTTTCGTAATTTATAAAATTCTATTCTTCTTATATTAATTGTGAATTAAATATGTAATATTCAAATTATGGCATTTACTGCTATATTTATAAAATAATATAGTATGTAATCAGAAAGAAACCTTAATTATAAACCGAATTTGAGATTTATTATTAATCTTGATTGGTTTGTAAGTATAACATGTTAGCATTACTTATATTTGCAGATTTTTGATAAAATATAAATGCTTTATATACATTGATTCTTTCAACTCTAATTTTATTTTAATAATAATTACTAAGTGTAGTAATTCTATAGGCATTACTCACACCTGCAAATTTTTGAAAAATAAAGTAATGCTTTGTGTTTATACTTTTAATTTTGACTTCTTTTTCAATACCTTATAATTTTTTTTTTCTTTGATAAGTTTGCATTAATCTTATTAAACATAAGTATGCTTACATTTTCTTTTAGCAATATAAATTAGGCAATACCTAGTTGCTTCTTTAAAAGTATCCAAGTAAGGTTAGAGAAGTGTTATTTATTAGCTAATTTTTTGTAAATAATAAAATTTTCACCCTCTCTCAAATGATTATGATTATTTATAAACACATATATGTGATCTATTAGTATAATATTTTGGTATACACTTCTCTGCTAAAAAAATCAAATAATAAATGACACTTCTCTTATTACATTGAAGTTAGCCAATAAGTTTTATATAAAGTACTATATCTATTTAAAAACTTACTATAGCTTGGTACTCAGCTACTATATTAGGACTAAATCTTTTTCCTTCTAATTTTTCCTTCTTTTCAAAGAGTATGAGATAAAAAAGAGAAAATTTGTAAAAATAAACAAAAAAAATTGAACATAAATTTAACATATTAAATTTTTTAATAAAATAATTAAAATAATCATTATTGTAATTTTTATTGTTAATTTGGCTAATTTATAATAACTTTAGTTTGTATTAAGTTAACATAAGCTAAATTTAATAATCAAAATCACAATCACAATCATTTTATTAAAAAAATTAATTATTTTAGGAATTATAAAATTCTGCAAAATTGCAAAATCTTATTCTTTATAATATTGATTTACTATTAATTATCTACCCTGTGAAGTTTTGATTAAGTACCACATAGAACCAAATATATCCTGAAAAATAAGCAAATTGAGCCTTATTTAAAATATCAAAGCAACTCAATTAAAATAATTAAATTGAATATACTAAAGTAGTCTGGTTAAAATAAATATACTGAGTCTAGTTCAATATAACAAATTGATTTAGTTGAAATAATATTATAGTTGAAATAACTTAACAAATTAAATTGATAATTAATTAATAAAAAAAAATTAAATTTACTATTAGAATAAGTAAATTTAACCTAATTTAATATACAAAGACTTTTTTACTTTGCATACTTCACAACTATTATATAATTAATATCTTTTAATTGGTAATCTACTAGTTAACTAGAGAGTAATTATAGTAAAATATAACTCAAATCACTTGGAGTCTTTGCTTTGAAAATGACTCTATTGTATCATATACTATAAGGTTATTTTTAAATTAAAGACCCTATTTATAAAAATTAGAGGTTTCAAATATGGCATACACATATCTAAAACTTTTTTATACTAAGTTAATTATCTTTCTGACTTAAGAGACTTTTGTAGAGCTTATCAAGACACATTTAATAGTGATGTTACAAAGTAGATTGTAATACAATGTAATATTAGTATAGCATAGTGTAGATTATAGTTCATTATTTGTTTTTTTTTTTTGGTATTAAGGTGACCTCTTTGGCCTAGGGAGACTTTTTATTAGAAATCAATGATACTGGTTACAACGAAGATACAACTAGCCACTGCACTTTTGGCACTGTCTACACTAAATGCCTGTACCTGCAGCCCAAACTAGGACTACCTATTTAAATTTTCTAATCTTCATCATATCAGATATATACTATTTTATTTTAACCACAGGACTACTACAATTACAGCTCATCTCAGTAGATTTCACATTCTGCCTTAGGACTTTTATGGATTTATCCTGGGTTTGCACCGACTAATTACCAGCTTGCATTCCTCTATTAAGCGAAGACCACAGCTATTCTTGAGTTAAACCTACTAGAGCTTTCTATACCCTATTTCGGCCAGCCTAGTCATTGCAGTCTCTAATTCATTATTTGTATATACAGTATTAGTTATATTTATTTAGTATTAGTTATTATATATGTCTCCAAAAAATTTTTCTAAAAAGTGGGGATTTGGCTTACCCCTCCAAAAGATCGGTATTGTTTACTTACCAAATCCGAATGGACCGGTAGATAGCAACCATGTATTTGGAGATGAATACGTTGTATGGGCCCTGGATCAAGTCCTGGTCAAAAAAGAAACCCCTGGTGGCGACACCAAGTGGCTTGAAATATGAGTACTCAAGTGATGGCACCTTTACGGAAATGTCACGTCCTTGTCGTCATTGGCGCCATATATGGAGAGTCAGATTCTAGTACTGCGGCAGCACTCAGTTTGAGATACGAACTAAATTATTAAAAAGATTCAGAATTGGGTCAGAGGGAATTTTAAAGTTAAGCTTAGACTTACAGTAGAGATATACAGATG